GAATTATCACTAAATAAAACTGATAATGAAATTACAATATTACCTGATGTAGCTTCATTTGTCTCTTTAAACAGACGGAACATCATCATTAGCCGGTATAGCTAAATTTACTAACTATTGTCCCTATTACAGTATAATTTTGTTCTATTTTCAATTAAATTTTAATGAATTATCACTAAATAAACTGATAATGAAATTACAATATTACCTGATGTAGCTTTCATTGTCTCTTTAACAGACGGAACATCATCATTAGCCGGTATAAAATGTTCACGAAAGTCGTTACCAGAAATCTCAATCAGTTCTATAGAAGTGCCCGTATTACGAATTCCTGTAAAATAACGATGAATAGGTTAAATCATAAAAAGCTAATTGAATCTTGTATAGCGAATGTATTGTTATGACTTGAAGTGGTTACAGACTATAAGTAAAGCTATGATTTTTCTTCAGGCAGAACGATTTAAAGTATTTATAACTTTATGAAAAGATACAAAATAAAAAATAATTTAACTGTAATTAAACCGTAATTTAGGAGCCATTCTTATATCTGGTTGACGCATTTTTCACATCTGTATGTTCACTGAATATTTGTTATATTGCCCTGTGCATTCAACTAGGGAATTTATATACATACCTTCAATCAAATCTGCTGTTTTAGTGATATCTTGACCTTTAAGTGTTCACAACAGTATCTGCTGTTCTTTTGATGACAGCACCGATTGCCATCGGGGGCCCCCTTTCCATGGCTTGCTTCCATAAAGTTCCATGTTTCCAGCAGAAAATCCGAGGTGTCAAAGAGTTTCGTGGAAAACATGTAGAAATTGGACTTACTCCACTGTACTGGCTTGTTTGGCCCATCAGATATAAAATGTAATATGTTATTAAACCAGGGTTTAGTCGTTTCATTCGCTTTATAACTGGTTCAAGGTGGGCCCAGATTCCAACTACTTTATGGGAAGTATTGTCTGATATTGTAGCAAATGCTTTTGACTTCTGGTGAGTATAAGCCATCACGGTATGTATGGAAATTTGTCTCTTGGAGAAACCCAAAGTGCACACTTTGTATTTCACTCTTGTATTTTACAAAGGTAATTTTCCGAAAAGTCTGTATGCAATATTTAATTCATTTGTTTTGCATGAATCTTTCAAGTGCTTCAACTGCAAGTATTGATGAGATTTATGTTGAATTCATTGTCTTGCTAATCTCGTTTATATCTTGTTGCAGTTCATTAACAGAGTGTCGTTATTGTGCCTGTTTCAGTTTTCTTGACTGTTACGTTATGTTTGGTTTTAGATAATTTCACCATTTTCAGATAGTTTTTCTTTCTCGATCACAAATCAGATTTCCATTCCCTCCATTCAACTATTTTTCATAATTTAGGTTTTCTGTTTCTGGTTTTGTGTTAATTTCTTTAAGCTTAACACTGATTGCATTGTGCTATACATACAATATTTATTCTTTGTATATCACATGTAATACCATGAATAAGTTGGCCGTAGGTCTTTTGGTGTCTTTTTCATCATATAATTTATTGACGATTTCATAGTTGGGTTTTCGTGAGTTTTACAAAGGCATGTTTCTCTATCCTTCTCAGATGCTCTTATAACCAAAAAGGTTTCAATTCGTGCGAAAAGCTATAGCTTATCCGTTTGCCCATTTCAAAAAGAAATTTTCGTGGAGATGTTTAATACTGTCATTTAATAGCCTTATTTTGTTTCTTTATCTTTCTTCGTGTAATAGTGTATTTTTTTGCCCTCCTTTAATTCTAGCAGTTATCGTCTCTTTCAAAGAAAATCATCTATACTAGACTTCAATATGGTTTGTTTTGTCATAGAAATAGTGCGAGACTTTCTGATACGGATTTCGTTTATTCCCGTCTTCTGTTTGGCATAATGCATGCCTTATTTTGTATATTCTAAGAATTGCTTCTCTTGTACAGTAAATTCTTAATCAGTTGTTTCTTCGGCACTTTCTCCTATCTTGTATCGTTTTCTTATGTTTCTCAAACAACAGACAATAGTGTGTCAAATGTGTTTTCGTTTGTGCTTTCTTTTTTCATAAATTTTCTGTACTTTCATTGTTTATTTCACTGTCAGATTCATCTTTCTTTCTTCTCATTCGATAATACCTTGATTTGTATTTATTCTTTAGTCTTTCTTTCTTTATTTAGCTCAATTCTTAATTTAAACTGATCTCTGTTAAGCTTTGATCGATTTAAATTCTTTTTTTTTCTACCTCTTAATCTATTTGACTCACTTAATTGGTTACTTTGAAGTTGAACTATACGTGATCTGGTGTAGATGGTGGAGACACAATTGTGCCTGTAAACCCTTCATTAGTTCTTTATCTTTTTTTACGTTTTAGATCTTTGGTTATATTTCCAGTTCCTCCTTCTTTTTCTTTGGTCTCTGGCACTCAATTCAGAAATAGACTTTAGCTGACCTGATTCTTTATCTCTTTTTGGTACCTTTGTCCTTTCTTTTTCTTTGTATGCTACGTGTGTTTGCTGTGGGTCCTCTCTTTGTCGTTTTCTCTCCATAAGGCAGCGCGTTCTCCACTTGTGAGAGCCATGTTTCATAATTGCTGAAGCTGATCAGTTGAAATTCGATATTTCACTTTTTCTTCAGTTTTATACAATCTTGTAAAGTTTCAATTTCTTTCTATAAAGTTTTGCACAGATTCAGGGTTCTTTGTGTTGATTTTGTTGTTCGATAAATAATTCTGCCTTTTTTTAATTTGATCATTCAGTATTTCTATCTGTTTCTTCACTCTATTGATGTGTTCTGTAATGAGAGAAAAGTATCATGTCATTACCGAAACTTAATTTTACGGGTGTAAAATTGTTCAATTGAAATGTTTTCAGTTGTTCTAAATATTTCTGATTTACAAGATTGATTGCAAACCATCACTATGGTTTTTATTTAAACACATACTTTTAGATAGAAAATGTGTTTTTGCTTGCAATTATGACATATTATCATAATATATCATATAAACTTCTCCAATAACTTGTTCTGAAAAAACTTATATCTTTTTTCTTAAATCCTGATAACAGTTCACCTAAACATATTAAGAAGAAAAATTTATCAGACAATATGACAAGACATCTGCATATTTATTAACACTTTAGTTAAAAAAGTCATCTCCGAAACATTTTTGTCATTACCAATGCATAAAACCCTGTTTCGGTAATGACTGTTGCGGTAATGACATTTTAATTATTTTTCTCAATAAGCGTCTGAATGGCCCAGACTGTGTAATGTTTACCGTTATATTTTTTCAACGTACACATATTTTTATATATACAAATATAGAGCGATTGTGAATAATAGTACAAATTTAGTTGCTATGTAACATTCGGTAATGACTAGATAAAAAAACATACGCATAAAAATCTGAAACTTACCTGGTAAATATTTCAGCGTCAGCCATTTGCATGTCACATGCGCCCAAAACAGATTTTCGCGCCGATTTCAACTTTTCTATGACGTCACGAGTTATTGGACGAATAATAATATCGCTGTCGACTAATTGAGTTTATTTGTGACCGTTTTGGTAATGACATGAATTCAAGTTACCATAAAAAATGAAAGTAAATAAATTGAATTGATGTAAATAATATATTTCTGGCTCAAAAATAGACATCTTATATTGTCTATTTAATTCCTTTGAATACAAAAAAAGAATTGAACTCTTTTAACTAGACGCCTAGTAAGCGTATAAAGATGGATGTTAAAACAAGTGACATTGTTAATTTTGGACCCCTTGTGTGAACAAATCGCAATTTATTGGTCTTTTTGTGAGAAATGAAATAAAAATCAATCACTTTCTACCTTATAATTATGTTTAATTTATATAACAAATAATTTCGATTTCATTTTTATTTCATTTTCATTTAAATAAGAACTCAAGGTGGAGTGACACCGTTTCGGCAAAAAATTTAGAATCACCCAGCCTGTGTACTGTAATTGCTAATCTGTAAAGAATTAGTAGACGTAGAATGTACCCGAAAAGGTGAAAGAAAGTGTGTATTGTTTCTATTCAATGTATTCATAATTAAATTATAATGTAGTAATAAAATGATTCCGTGTCCAGTGGGGCACCAAATATTAAAGTAACTGAGACTAGAATATTAGTGCCACATTATACACAGAACCTGCAAAATGGTAAGATTAAAGAAAATTTGGGTAAAAAAATAAAATTAAGTGGAAATAAATATAAACCATTAGTCTATGAAGGCTGGACATGGAGGGGGACACCGACACTGAACGCCTAACAATCCCTTGAGGATGAAAATATAAGAGCCGCGCCAAGCATAAACAGCCGTTATCGTATAATTAATTATTCTGCGAAATATGACGTCAAAATTAGTGATGACGTAGAAAGATGGCGGCGCCCGTATTTTTACATGACAGATTGTAAACACAACAAATATAGACACTTTCGAGGTAATGTTTTAGTTTAATCTTGTTTTTACATATAGGACACATTTTATAAAGTGTTTAGGAATAAAAATCTCCATAATACAACTTGTTTTCGTTCGGATAATGAAAGAAAGTAACATTCATTTTTCATGAATTTTCAACATGTGTCATCAAAGCACATGATCGTTAAAATTGGCGCTTTAAGTTATCTAAATTAATTTAAACTAAATTGCCAACGGCTACAGGTTATAATCCCGTAGGCGTACAGATAATCTGCAAACATACCGACAAGTATGAGCCATTCCCGACATCCCGTTGAAAAAAGTTATTTTTAAGATGGCTTTGCTGGGTCGGATGGGGGCTGCGTTCATTGAATGCCGCCTTTCCTTGTCGATCTTGTTTATCATATTTTAAACTTAAAAGAAAAAGATAGATCCGTAACAACATATTTTATTGTGTTTATTAGATTAAAACTGTTATAATTTTATAGCTCCCATCACCTCACACCCCGTCCCTTAATGAATAAAACTTTTAAATTTAAAATTAAGCGGGCAAGAACTTTACTCGGTAATTTTTTTGCGTATCAAAATACTGATATTTTTTTAACGTCTGTAAAGCATGTTGACTGCATAGCCGAGTGGTTAGTGTTGTGGACTGACGACCCGTTAGTCATGGGTTCGATTCTCGCTAACGCCACTCTTTTTTTTAATTACTTTTTTTTTTTAAATTAAAGATAACTTCTTATAAATATTATTTAATGAGATTAAATATCTACATCTATTTTTATATTTTTTTACAGGAGCTGGATGATCTTCTGTCAAGTTTCGGTTTGTCACATCAGTCAAACACGTGTAATTCTGTAGCCATCCGAAATGAAAGTGAAAATGAAGTTATAGAGGCACCAGATATATCCATTGAGTCACGACTCGACAGATATTTTACAGCTAGTCTTGTTTTGGATCCTGTTAATGCAGACAATCAAGGTAATGCTGACACTTACCAAAATAGTGATGATCCGCAGAGTGACATTGACAATCTGAAACACATTTATGACAGTGGCTTTAAATGTACTAAAAACTGCTTCAGTAACTTATCCTTTCCTCAGATTGAAGCAAATATTCTTAATCTAAGGGAAATGACAAAAAATGAGAAGGAAATGCTAATAATGGGAACCCTTAAAAAGATAAATTCTGACATAAGATGTAAAGAAGATCGCAAACGCTCCCGTTATGAATATTATTTTGATGGAGTAAAAGTTTGCCATGAAACCTTTCTGGTGGTCTTTGATGTAAAAGACAGGCAACTGAGAAATATCAAACACCATATGGAAGAACACGGTGCTCAACCACGTGTTCACGGTCATACAGGAAGACGTGCTCCAAATGCATTTCCTCCAGACGTTATTAAAGATGCAGTTAAGTATATACTGAGTTACGCAAACGAGGAGGGATTGCCTCAGCCTGCAGCACTAAGGGGGAGGGATGATGAGGCCCCTATATATTTACCGTCATCTGATACAAAACATTCAGTGCACAGTGATTACGTTACACGCTGTACGGAAGTTGGAAAGCGCTATGTTGGTTTATCGACATTTAAAGATATATGGAATAATTGTGTCCCTCATATAAAAATAGCGTCGCCGAAAGAGGATGTGTGTAAAGCCTGTGAGGACTGTAAACAGGATATTAAGCTTGCCCAGAGTGAAAACGACAAGATAGATGCAACATTGAAATACCATCAACATGTGCTGAAAGCTAGAAAGGAACGTGATCTTTACGTGGAACTTGTAGAAAAATCAAAAGCAATGTTTGTAAACCGGGAACAACAGAACCAGGCTGCCGGTGATAACTTTTCTACAAATGACGTACATTATACATTTGACTTCAGTCAGTATGTTAAGTTACCACACCATGCACAAGAAAAGGGACCCACATTTTTCATTCAGCCGAGAAAAGTGCAGGTAGGAGTTTCAATCTAACTATGCTAATTATTTATTTTTCATGTATGCATTGTAAACTTTTTTGTTTCTTTTACAATTACTATAAACGTGAAAATTACCTGTTAGTACCATAGTTAATATAAATTTTCTTTCCGTTTTCAAAATCTATACTTTGAATAATTTTTCTATGCAGTAAATGTGTACATGCTGTATCTTTCAGATATTTGGTTTCCGAGCCGATGGCTACAAACAGTACATTTATCTCATAGATGAGGACAAAACAATTGGTAATTAAAACAGTTTTTCGGCATTTCTGTAAAATTATAATAGAAAATTAAATAAAAAAATTACTAAATAAATTATTATCCAGTATGTGCATGATAAGCATACTTTAAAGTGTTTTTTTTTGTAACTGCAATGCATGCAGTATTTTTTTTTTGTAACATTTCAAGTCAAACAGGATTGAATCTCATCGTGTCTTCTAAATTACAGCAAATTAGTTCAAATATCAAGTTTATGTAATTTTTGTTTTTGTTTTAGGACAAGATGGCACACTTGTACATGGACCAGACTCGGTCATCTCAATGCTAGACCATGCCTTCAACTCGTTCGGTACTGGAGAAAGTGATTGTGGGATTCACGCAGATAATTGTTTTGGTAGTTATTTTTCACATCTCAAGTATTCTTATTAGTTGTAACTGCCTCAGTTTGAACTGTGCCATAAAAATGCCGGTGTAAAATAGTTCCTTAAAACTAAACTTGTTTACTGTTTAGTATTCTTTTTTTTTCTAAAATGTACATGTATTGAGATTTAATAAGAAGTAGTAATGATTGAAAAATAATAGAGTTACTACAGGATATTACAATAACATAATGTAACTTTAGAGCTTTGCTTTTTTTTAATTTAGCTTTATTTGATTTTCTCAATTCTTTAACATTATTGTATGTAATTAAATACATGAATTTAAATCTTTTCCACAGGTCAGAATAAGAATAGATACGTACTAGCCTACTTGTCATGGCGCACGATGATTGGATCACATAGAAATATCAAATACATGATGCAGTTACCAGGACATACAAGGTAGCTTTGATTTTTTAATTGTTCTATAAACGGTTAACAAGCAATTTCGTTAATTATTTAGAAAAGATATTATTTTCGCCGAAAAAACAAATACTATATTAAGCCTAAATGAGACGAGAACTTGATTTTAAAACATGTTTTCTTAATCTCTAATAATATGAAAAAGAAGGAAATGTAAAGCACGAGTTCAGACTGTAAAATCATGTAATATAATATAGAATTGACCGGAAAAGGTTTAATTACCGTAAAATATTTCTACGTCATAAGCTAATTGATGGTGTCAGTAAAACATGCGAATGAAATGACAAATACACTGCTGATCAAATCTTTATCCTCATTAATATTAATAAGTCAATGGTAAAATTCTCAGGAATTTGAGCTTTACCTCACCAATCATATTTGTTTTGCATTTAACTTTATATATTCAGGTGCTTGATCGACGCGGGATTTGGAACGATAAAGAAGTTGTATCGGCGTTCAAATTGTGATACTCTCCAACACGTGACGGAAGTAGTACTGAAGTCAGCACACAGTAATGTTCCCGTTACTTATGGTGAATGGATGTGGAAAGGCTGGAAGGTGTTCCTCGCAGACAGATTCAAAAAAGTGCCGAACATCTCAAAATATCACCACTTCCGTTTCACGTCACTCGAACCCGGTATATAGTTTACATGAAGGTAGCTGCAGATGATACTAATGAAATACGATTTGTAATTTGTAAGACGAACTATCTACAAATGGATAGAAATGACCTTCCATCTGTCATACATCCTGCAGGATTAAGCCGGGAACGTCAGACGTACTTGTACCGTCACGTCAGACCACTTGTGAGACGCCAGTTCCAAGATGTTCTTTGCCCAGTTCCCCCGTCAAGCGATGGGCAGTGATTAGTTATACAAATTTCTATACACTAGTTCCTAAAGTATCAAGTGTCAAGGATATATTTAAGCTGGTGTATCTCATGATAAACTTACTATTCTGTGTACAGTGGTGGTTTTGAGTATTTACTGTTGTGCTTCTACGATCACAGCGTTTTCGTAGTAACTGATATTTGTGACCTATTATCATTAAAGTAACATTTTAATGTTATTTTTAGATAATGTTTTATTTAATAATTACAGAAATAGATAATTTTGGATGAGTGTACGTAATTTTTTTACTAAATTTATTGAACGAGTTGAATAAAATCATATTAAGTGAACCTTATAGCAAAATATTGTTTTATTCAACGACTTCAATAAATTTAGTATTGAATCTACACGAAAATAATATATTTTTTATTTAATAAATAATGATATTTTATTTATTGCATATATAATATAAAAACTATTAACAGTTGAAAATATCATTTGTCATTTTTCATTGACGCGCCTATAGTGTACGCTTACATTAGCGCGCTTTTACGCTATGTTTATATATAGCGCAAATGACGTCACGTCAAAATGTTATAACACTAGTTTAATATCGTTTTTTATTTATAAAATAGCTTATTTATACTCCTGTGCCGCGGTTTATGTGATAAATTCAATTATATTACGCCACACTGTCTCTTTACGTAAGTAAATAAATACATTTTCGACGTTTTGAAATGATGTTATCAACGTTGACGTTAGTGGCGTTACTTGACGTCGGCTTTTTCAAAGCCGTTACGTTTAAGCTTTTTCGTGCAAATGTGAGTCGAATAAAGTATAGAAAGTTATACATTACAAGAAAATTTAAAAAATGCACTAACGCATGATGGAAAAAGCCGAAAATATCCAAAAATTACTATAACGGCTGTTTATGCTTGGCGCGGCTCATAACAACATTGATTGCATGTACGGGGAGACTTTTTACAGCCGCCACAAGGCACAAACAACACGGTTGTGAGCATAAAATATGATAAACAAGATCAACAAGGAAAGGCGGCCCAAACAAAAACAGGACAGGGCAAAGACAGAGCAATGTCTGACTGTTTTAACAGGGCACGCCAATAGCAGAGGGGATGGGGGAGCACAATTATATTGATGATATGAATTTGAATAGATATGTATATATGACTAAGAATTATAGGAATAATGATATATTACTATATATCAGTATTCAGTTCCAGTATTCCTTCTTGAATACTGTATAATCACCCTTAGAATATGTTGCCTGCTTTTTTAATTTGTCTTTTGACGTCTTATTTCAAAACCTACCCAATCGCTGGCAATAAAGAAACTTTCTTGTCGGTAGCCGCGAATTATCTCATAAGGAATTCGTTAATAATGATATTCATATTTGAATTAGAATACATTTAACATGATAATTATTATTTATAATACAACATTTTTAATAAAATAAATTATGCTTTAACACTTATATACAAATTCTTAATGTAATATCAATATTAATGAAACGAAGATGGCCGAGTTCTTGACGGTGAGGAACTGAGACTGACTTCTTGTTGGTATAGATATTTGCCTATTAACATGGTTCAGAACGAATTCATTATGTTTTTCATGTTAAAAATATTAGGAATTGAGATTAATAAATGATGAAATAGTGAAATTAATTGGTATTTTTTCCTTTTTACTTCTGGTCGGTTCTTGTTGCTTGCCGGTTATTAGGGAGACCGGCATTTTATATTGTTTACACTCAATAATCTACGACAATGACATAACCAATGCAGATAAACACCTGTCAATTGCCGATTTATGTATGCTTACGGCGCCTCCATTCATGTATATAATGATTCACATTTACTTAATAGTTTTGCCAACAACCGAGTTGTGCTAAAAAAAATGTCAAATTGATTAGCCCTTGAAGCATTCGGAACTGCCTCGGCTATTATCTATAATAATATCGGAAACAATACGGATTGAAAGAATTTCTACCACGTGGTTACAGGTGAAATAATGTAATTGCTATTGTACCTATGAATCCACTTATTTTAGGTGGACTTTTACAGCATATATTGGAAATAAACTTGTCAACAACTCCCAGCATAAAACTACTATTTGTTTAAATGTTTAGTTTCTTAGCGCAGGTTAGACCGAAATACCGCATCCGTTCTGTGTATTCACATATGTTCGAAGTCCAGACTGACGTAAAGGGCCGAGTTATTGCGATTGCCCTTGAAATAACCATGCACTACATGTGTATTAATAAATGCTTGCAATTATAAAGAAAATAGAACAATATATTTTATCAAGACGTAATAAGACTGGTTTACTGGGAGAAAAAATAGTTGAAAGTATTTTGACGAGTATTAATTAAAAAATAGATACACAGTCAACTGTTTAACGGAAGCGGTCAGTAAGATGTTTCGAAAATGAAAGTACACACCAAAAACGCTTCAAATTTTCATTCTCTGTGTAATTAATTTACAGCGTGCGTAAATGAACGCAACAAATTGGTAACCTTGTGCGTTTTTAGTTGATTTTGAAGCGTAAAATACGTCGATATACACGTTATCTAGAACTATTGACATTTTTTTTTACGAAAGTTGGGATGGAAACAATACTTTTAGAATGTAAACAATATTTTTTATGCCACCGCAGCATCTGCGATGCGGTGGCATATAGCGATTCACCTGTGTGTGTGTGTGTTTGTGTGTGTGTTTGTGTGTGTGTTATATAGATTATATAGTGAACTTAAAAAATCTTCTTGTGAAAAACCACTAGTCCAATTTCAACCAAACTTGGCAGGATTGTTCCTTTGGTGAAGGGCAACCAAAAGGAATTATAAGAATTAATTAAAAAAATCTTCTTGTAAAGACCCAAAAGGCCTAGAGCTTAGATATTTTGCATAAGGCATTGTCTGGTAGACCTCTAACAAGATTGTTCAAATTAAAGCCCTGGGGTCAAAATTGGCCCCGCCCCGAGGGTCATTGATTTTCACAATGTACATATAGTAAAAACTTAAAATACCTTCTTGTAAAAACCCAAAAGGCCTAGAGCTTAGATATTTTGCATAAGGCATCTTCTGGTAGACCCTTACCAAGATTGTTCAAATTATAGCCCTTGGGTCAAAATCTGCCCCGCCCCGGGGTCATTGATTTTCACTATATGTACATATTAAACTTAAAACACCTTCTTGTAAAGACCCAAAAGGCCTAGAGCTTATATATTTTGCGTAAGGCATTGCCTGGTATACCTCTACCCAGATTGTTCAAATTATAGCCCTGGGGTCAAAATCAGCCCCGCCCCGGGGGTCATTGGTTTTCCTTTTATGTATATAGTAAAAACTTTTAGTAAAAACTTCAAAAACAATTCTTCTAGCAATTGACAAATGCTAGAGGTTAGATATTTTGCATGAAACATTGTGTAGTAAACCTCTAGCAAGATTGTTCAAATTATAGCCCTGGGGTCAAAATTGGCCCCGCCCCGAGGGTCATTGATTTCAATATATACATATAGTAAAAAATAAATAAATCTTATTGTCTTAAGGTACAAGGCTAAGAGCTTTAATATTTGTTAAATTATATCATCTGAAGGTACTCTACAAAAGTTATTCAAAGTTTGCCTCTTGTGTCAAAATTAGCCCCGCCCCCTGGTGGCCATAGGTTTTCCGTATATGTATATAGTACAAACTTAAAAAATCATCTTCTCTAAATTTACAAAGGCTAGAGTTAAGATATTTTGCATGAAACATTGTGTAGTGAACCTCTGGCAAGATTGTTCCAATTATAGCCCTGGGGTCAATATTGGTTCCGCCCCGGGGGTCATTGATTTTCATTATGTACATAATAGTGAAAAAATAAAAAATATTTTTGTCTGAAGGTACAAGGCATAGAGCTTTGATGTATGATATATAATATTATTTATAGGTCCTCTACCAAAGTTGTTCAAAATTTTCCCCTGGTGTCAAAATTGGCCCTGTCTGGGGGCAGTGATTCTCATTATGTACACATAGTAAAAACAGAAAATAAAACAAATGTTTTCTGAATGGGAGAAAGCTATAGCTTAGATATTTGACTTGAAATGTTGTTTGGTGGACCTGTATCAAAATTGTTTTAAATTAAACCCTTGGGTCAAAATTATGCCTTGCCCAAGGGGACAGTGACCTACTTTCTTGTCCTTTAATGTACAGCAATGACATTTTGACCATGTGCACAGTTTTAGTTGTAAAATTGAACTTTGATATCAGGTGACCTAGATTTTGATGATGTGACCTACTTTCTTGTCCTTTGGTGTACAGCTATGAAATTTGAACCATGCGGTGGCATAGCATTTTTCTCAAATGCAATCTTGTATAATTTAGGTTGCGTGGCCTAGTTTTAAACCCCAGATAATCCATATTAAAATATAGAAAAGAAAACATCCTTTCTGAGTATTTCCCAGGATATTTAGACCTTAACAGTACCTGGGCTGTGTTACCTAGCTTTTAACCACTGATGAACTATATTTAAATTTCTTCTGCTAAGGTTTTAAAATATTAAAAAGTTAAAATTAGGAAAAGCGACATTTCCAACATCAGCTTTAAACGATTTTCGTTTAAATAGATTTTCCTATTTTTTCTAAAAACAAATCAACACTTTTTTTGATCTCGGTTATTTCCCCAAAAAGTTGACTGAAGAATACATCATCCCTACACACAAAAAAGTGATACAGTCAAACCTACCGTGTATATCCATTAACGCAGGAATGTGCAAATAACGCAGGCATTGTGCAAAAGTAACAATGAATCGTGCAAGTACGTGG